ATTCTTCATATTTTTTAGTATAAATATCTACAGGAATACTAGAATTATTTTGTTTATACATTGTAATCCATTTAGTACGCCATTGATTAAATTGTTCTCGAATCCAAGTATTTTTCACTTTACGTCGAGTTAAACCTAGAAATTTCTTATCATTTGGAGTATTATCATTTGATAAACTGTTCCAGGTGAGTTGTGTATCCGACGGTTCCCTTTCTTTAAAATTTTTCCAAAGTCTTTGTATAATCTTTGCACACCTAAACTCAGTTTGTGGTCTTGAGGAATCATAAACGGATTGTGGTCTTGAGCATTCATAATCATAATGATCTTTCATTAAATCAAATTGACTTGCTTTTTGACCTAAATTAACATTGATATGCATAAGTTTCATACAACAAAAACATATTGCAGTACCATCCTTATATGGTCTACCTCTGCTGTAATTATATTTATCAAAATTCGCACCTTGAATATATGAAGTGTGGAGACATAGCTCGTGGTATGTAGATCTTGTTCCTCCTGAACCTATTAAATCTTGAAGAGCGATCCTAACACGACAAGCTCACCAAATAGGTGTTTCCCCTTCAAAGATTATACTAATGAAATCGTAAGGCCTCTCAGCATCAATAACTCTATTAAGTACATTATGCCCACTAGTTATTGCGAGTCTTCTATTTATATTATGATGTGTTCTGGATATATTTAACGATTATATGAGATTTAAGCATATTTAGAAGTATTTTGACCTATCAGATTTGGTTCAATATATATGATTATATCTGGATTCATTTTTTGTTGATTTAGATCTATGCTTAAAAGATAAAGAAGTTGTTTCGATATATAAAGGTATAGAATTAGCATAGTTGGCACGGTCAAGACTATCTACTGTTAAGAACATTGTTAATCTTTCTAGCTCTTCATCCCGCCTTTTTGCAGTACCTGCTTAAAGCCAGATCTTAAATAGGTTAACTACTTTTCTTTTCTGAGAAGCAGAGCTACATTGTTTCACAATATTAAAGAGGATGTTAACTGCAATTGTCTGGCTTCGAGTAATAAAGTCATGAGAAGGTAGGATTCAATTCAAAACTATTTTCTATATGTCGGTATGCTTTGAAGACATATCCCTAAAGAATCAGATTGTATAACTCCTGTTCTTATACCGAGAAATATGAGACATGTCTCTTTAGAGCTGTGGAGAGTTTCAGAAGTTATATGTCGGAAATATTATCTGAGCTAGGTTTAATTACATATCTGTGTCAATTTGTCACGCATATCATATGGAAAAATAAAGTATCTTGAGTTCGGGTAATAGTATTTATAGCAGAGCTAGTGTCTCTAACACATATAAAATTACTCATGTAGATATTGTTGCAACGATTACTCATGATGATTGACAGGCATATGAAATCAACAAATGATAATTATGATAGATCGTGAATGGAGAATCTATTTTGGACATATAGTTTATTCACAGATATAAGTACCAAAACTGGTTCATGAATTTCACTAATAAATGGTTATGAGATTTTAACATGAGCAAATGACAACAACGAACTATTCTCTCGCAATATTTATTGTATAGCAAAGATACTTCGTGCTTACAGTTTATGGTAAGTAATAACTTGTGTAACTCGATATCTCCGCTAAAATAATTAACCTATCATGTGATATGTGTCATAGAACATAATAAAATCTGCATGCCGATCATACTTAGTGTTACATATTTTATAAAACTTAAATACACGTCTTTTTACGCGTCTCTTCCTTGTTTTTGTAACTTTTTTTTTGACAAAATAAAATTAGGATCAAAAATTTAAAAAACAAATAAATCTCTAGTTATTTTCACAAACGATGTCTGAACGTGGAACTCACGAACCATACGTCGGGTACAACGGTAAGTTCTATAACTTGCAATCTGGCTTTAGTAAAAATTTATTTAATTTCTAATCAATATTTAACTTCTTAGCTCTGATCGATTATTTACAAACCTATAACAACAAGTCGTACCGCAGTTTCCTCGAACTTAATCGAGATGTCTTAATTTCCTCCTTGTCTGTGAATTCTAACTGGAAAGAGCTTGACAATTGTTGGGTTGCCAATTTTCTACGAGAAGCAGAAAGATTAGAAGGTCAAGAAAATTTTGCAGTCCTAAAAGAGAAGGTGCGTTTTCTTTTTATTTTGCATAGGGAGGGTAACTCCTAGTAGAGTCACATATGTGCCTTGGCTCAGGAGAATTACTGGGCTTGTTTGCTTGGTACCCACTCCAAGTCTTCAGTTCAGGCACCCAAACTTTGTTGTTGGTAGTGTTTGGACCTGAGCAGAAATTGCTATAATAATTTACCCGGAGCCTATTGTGGATACTATTAATCGAGAAGGGGATGAAATAGGAGAATATGATTATAATGATCCACCACCGTCAAGACGTTCCGTAATATCATCTCCATACCCTCTTTCATCAAGTAATTCTCCATCACCACCTCCAACACCACCAAGAAGTGAGAGTTCTCCCGTTCAACAACCTTTAGGTGGCCGAAGGATTGCCGGGCAATTTCTGCTCAAGTCCAAACACTAGCTTTTGGTAAAGGACTGTTGGTTCCGAAGGAGGAATCGGCTATGAACCTTTCTTTATCACTAAATAAAAAAGTTGATGCACTGCTAACATTTCTTCTCACAACAGGTAAAATTTGAACGTTCATGCAAATGGTTGATGCCATACTGGAAGGGAATAATTAAGGAATATAAAAGGGTAAGAATAATAAACAATACAATGGTTGTGTATATATGATCCATTAAACAAATCCGTTTTTATAAAATTCTGTGTAGACCCAGCTAAAAGGATTCGCATATAAAATCATTTACTATGAAACACCCGAACGAATCCCGGAAGAGCATCAAAAGTCAGACCTTTGTGGCGTCTGTCGCAAAGAATTACTTCCGCAATTAACAAATCATATCACCATATTAACTTGTGGACACCTTTTCCACTGGCAGTGTCTTGAACGCGAACCATGTTGCTCATTTTGTTCGGAAGAACAAGGATCTACAAAAAAACATGCTGATAATTCTGATGAGCGCTACGAATATGATGACCACGACAATGACCATTATTATGATAATGATTACAGAAATAGCCTTGAAGAACATAGCTTTGATCGTGATAACAATAACCACAATGATAATCAGGTAAATGATCTGAATAAAATTATTTATAAATTCGATATTTTGATGACAATATTTCACATGTCAATTCAAATTAGGATAATTTTGGAATACAAGATGATGTTGACCATTCATTAAATAATAATAATGATAATAATAGTAACGACAACATTAATAACAATATTAGCAACGATAACAATAATAACAATAATAGCATTGTTGGTGGTTCTACGCAACGAAAAAAAAGAAAACGGGTTAACGATAATGATAATAGTAGTAATAGTAATAATGATGATAATGATAACTATAGAAATAACGATAACAATAATGATAATAACAATAATAACAATAACGATAACAGTAATAATGGCAATAGCAGTAATATCGACAATGTCGGCGAAGGTAATAATAGTAACAACAATAACAATGATAATAATAATGTAATATCATCATCATCATCGCCAGCAATAGCAACAACAACAACAACACCATCACATAATTATAATCTTCGCCATAAAAGAAAAAGTAAATACGATCGTGAACCTGTAACTAAAAAACGTCGTAAAAATAAATCATCATCATCATCTCAACAACCACCACAACAACAACCATCACCATCACGACAACAACCATCACCATCACGACAACCATCACCACAACGACTATCACCACGACAACCATCACCACGACTATCACATGATGATTTTGATTTTTTCGACAATGGTGGTGGTGGTGATGACAATAACAATGATCCGCCTTTATGTATAGGATGCCCTGTACATTGTCCAGATTAACCGTTTTTTTTTTTATTTTTTTATCATGTATTTTTATTTTTTTATCATGTATTTTTATATTAATAAAGATTTTCGATTTTTATAATCAATAAAGCTGGCCTTGGTGGCCGATTTCACATATATAATCATATTTATTTTTTTTCATGTATATTTTCATCAGTATGATTTCGATATTAATATTTTTTTCTTGGCAAAAGTGATCGACAATCGTTAACAATGTTAACGATTTTTTTCTATTGTGGAACAATGAGCTCCGCTCTGGCATTTTTCAGTGATGCTAAAATTTTATCATATATCTCTACGATAAAGAATTAAATATATGTATATATATAAAAAAATGGCAAATACACAATCCAAAGTCGATTCATTAGAAGAACAGAATTCCAAACTTGTAGCTGAGATCACGGAATTAAAAAGAGAAAAGGCTGAATTCGTGGCTAAGGAATCGGGATTTATAGCTAGAATTACAGAATTAGAACAAACTTTGAAAGATTATGAAGCTAGGTTCGTAAATCTAGAGCAGAAAGATAATGAAAAGACTATTTATATGGTAAAGATAGATGGTGAAATTAAGGAAATTAAACAATCTTCTGTTAATACCACTCCTATTTCTGAGCAGATAGAAAATAGTTCCAATATATGCCAGGAAAATGATGGCTGATGTTCTGTATCTTCTATTTTCTCGAACGATACTCATAAACAGGTAATCCCACAAAATAAGGATGCTCCAGGATTGGATATAACTGATAATACTTCAAATTCTGATAAACCCAATAATGCTTTGGCATCTGATAATACTTTAAATTCTGACGTATGTCAGTCTCGAGTCTCCGACTCACCTTTAACTCAATGCTCTGCATTGCCTATTCATACAGAACCCATAACATTAGAAGATAAAGAGATCGACAAATTTCTGGATTCAACGTATAGGGAACAGGTTAGTAAAGAGATAATTCAGAGCATTAAGGAGAAGAAACTTCGGGATGAAAACTTATCTTCGGATAATAGCCACTCTGTGACTGCCTCCAGTAATTTATTAGAGCAACCCACTTTATCGTTTGATATAAAAACCGTTAAC